ATCATGTGACTAAGGAATCACAAATAAAATCAATTCATATCCACTAGGACACTATAATCAAGACAGTTAAAAACAACAAATGTTGGGAAGTCTCAGAATTCTAATCCTGACATGGACCAATCAGGAGGCAGGATAGTCCCTTCCTAAAAGGACATTCTCCAATAACCATCACTTCTGAGCTCAAGTATTTCTTGTGTCCAGATCAATTATCTAAAGAAATCCACAACAGTATAAGCTCATTATGCTCATTCATTCACTGAGAAACTGAATAGATTAGTTGAAGAAGTAACCATAATTTGAAATCAATGTTTTCCTCAATTATTTTAAATGAAACCTCTCATTTCATTCTTATGCCAATCTACAACAAAACTGGTTATTAAGCTTATCATTCATAGCAGACCTAAGTCTTTTACTCAAAGTATGATGTTTGCCAGTACAATGGTATGCACAGGTGACAGAGTTTTAAGGGAAGGATGTGGATATTAAAACTTTCTGTTCATGGAAAGGAATGATGGCACAGTATGGTGTTCAGATACCCATTTTCCAAACAACCATTTCCACCAGAGCTTTTATAGTATTTAAGGCAGGAATTGGAAGGAGAAGGTCATCTTTATTTCAGGTTGGGCATACTAATGGATATTAGTAATGATTAAATTGAATTTGTAATAAGTAGAAGGAAAAGCCATCTTAAGCAGGTATCAACCAGAGCAGTGGATCTCAATCTTCCTAATGCTGGAACCCTTTAATATAGTTCCTTATGTTGTGGTAACCCCCAACCATTAAATTATTTCATTGATACTTCATAACTGTAAGTTTGCTACTGTTATGAATTGTAGATGGGGTTTTTTGTTGGGACTGCCGACTCCCCAATAACCAACATGGAGACTTATTATTAATTATAAATGATTAGCTGATAGCTTAGGCTTGTTACTAACTAGCTCTTACTACTTAAATTAATCCACATTTCTTATCTATGTACTACCACATGGCTCAGTACCTTATTTCAGAAGGGCAAGTTCATCTTGCTTCTCTCTGCATCTCCTGATGACTCCACCCTTCTTCATCCCCAGCTCTCTTTTTCCCTGTCTGCAAGTCCCACCTAAGTCTTTCTGCCTAGCTATTGGTAATTAGCTCTTTATTAAACCAATGAGAGCAACACATCTTCACAGTGTACAAGGAGACTATTCCATAACAATGAATCATAAATATCTGATATGCAGGATACCTGATATGTGATCCCAAAAGGGGCATGACCCACAGATTGAGAAACACTGATCTAGAGTAACTAACAGATAAAAGAGTTAACACAATATAGGCAACACCAATGTGTGTTCTTTGAGTACAATAGAGTCATTCTTGGATTCTGGTAAGTTTTACCTGGAGAGAAGATCAATGTTCACCAAAACTGCTGCAGGCAGCAACTTCCAAGTTCATTGTCTCTCTTAAAAATAAGGAATCATTGACAAGGAAGTTAGCAGAGGGAACAAAGATGTATTAAGGTGTAGAGTTGGAATGAGAATGACCCCCATAGGCTCACATATTTGAATACCTGGTCTTCAGGTGGTAGAAGCGTTTGGGAAGGTTTAGGAGGTATGGTCTCATTGGAAGAGATGTGTCATTGGTGGCAGACTTTAAGGTTTCAAAAGCTGATACAATTCCTAATTAGTTTTCTCTGCCTGGTTGTGGATCAAGATGTGAGCCTCATCAAGATGTGAGCTCCAGTACTATACCTGTTGCCATGTTCCCTACCATGATGGTCATGGTCTCTAACCTTCTGGAACTATGAGGCCCAAACTAAGTTTGTAAGTTTCGTATATTTTATCACAGCAATAGAAATGTAACTAAGGCATAAGATAAGTGGGAGTGAATGGCTGAGAAGCAGAGGGTCTCCAGAAGAGGAGTGTCACTGTGTTCCCTTCATTAGTTTTTATAGGACTTGTGGCAGCAATTAGATTGAGGCTGAGGTCATCCTTATTAGAATTGGTCTTTTTGAGCACATCACAGGTTGGAGCAGTAAGGGGCCTCTGTATCCTTCACATAACTCTTTGACCAGCACAACAGAGCTATGGACCAACAGGGTCATGGTCACAGGTGTTCCATCATGAGCCCCACCCATACTGGGCGCTTAATTTTTGTCTTGATGCTTTATTAATGCATAATATACACATTTATGAGTTATATGTTTGTATGTTACATAGACAAAGGCTTTAAAGTGGCAAAAATGATTATTTGGCTTATCACACTTTTATTAATTATCACTTCTTTCCTCATATAACTTAACAATTGCTCAGTTTGTAAATCAAGAGCTGTATACAATGTTCAAATAGCATTTATCATCACATACTACTTCAGAGGCCAGAAGAGAGCATTGGATCTCCTAGAACTAGAGTCAAGACAGTTGCAAGCTACCATGTAGGTGCTGGGAATTGAACCCAGGTCTTTTGGAAGAGCAACCAGTTCTCATAGCTACTGAACCATCTATCCAGTACATGAAATTATTTTTTAAGTAAAAAATGATAGTATGGGACTGGAGAAATGGCTCATCATTTAAGAGCACATTCTGCTCTTGAAGAAGACCCCAGTTCAATTCTAAACACCCATCTCAGGTGGTTCACAACTGCTTGTAACTTCAGTTCCTGGTCCTGGCCTCCACAAGAACCTGCATGTATACACACAAAAACCCTACAAAAGACACACACACACACACACACACACACACACACACACACACACACACGACTGAAAATAAAATGAATTAAGAAAATAGTGATGGGAAATTAAAGCTAGGTTAACAAAATGAACCCATCCTCAGAGGAAATCAAAGTTCAAATTCACCTAAAAAAAATCAGCAAAATACAGAATATAATATTAATAGAACCCTGGCTGACAGTTGTGTGCTATTCTATGCCCTGCCCAAATTCGTATGCAGAACCCTAAGCTTCAAGCATGACTATTGGAGAGATAGGGTCTTTAGAAGGTAATTAGGGTTAAGTGAGGTCATAAGAGTAGGCTCTATCTCAACTATACATGGTCTTATTGAAAAAGAGCAAGTCCATCCTTCTCCCACATAAGCAGACACAGCAAAGCACTAGAAACGAGTACTTGCCATAAACAAAGCCTGTCAGAAACTTCATTTGGGGCTTTTTCAGCCTCCAAAACCGAAAGAAAAAAAAAAAGACTTCTATTGTGTAAGCCACTTTGTCCTGCAGCCCCAGGTGGCTGGTACTAATTTATGGGAGGGTAAGTCAAGACAGTCTTAAGATTTCTTTCAATCTAATCCTAGATGATTGGATTTCCCAACAACCTCCAAAGGTCTCGTTGTCTGATCCTTCCTATCTTATAGACTCAAAAAGCTTTTACCTTGAATAAATGGGTTGCAACTAGCTACCATGGAAAAGGTGTGCTTCCTCTAGGTTACACACACACACACACACACACACACACACACACACACACACACACACACTCAACATCACTATAGGATCAGTGCTGCCCAAACCTTAACTCTTGGTCTTTAACCTATATTTTTGCACACGTAGAACTTATCTTTAAGGTGGGGAGGAGAATAGTAGTCACCAGACTAGGAGGGGCTGGGAGGTAGGACAGAGAGAGGACAGAAAACAGGACCAGTTAGAAGAGCCAGCTCAGTGTTCTATAGCACATTGAGGTAAATTTAGTTCCAATAATTAATTGCATACTTCAAAATAGAATATAGAATTTTGAGTGTCTGTAAAATAAAGAAATGATAAATCTTTAAAAAACTAGTTACTCAACTTGAATATTATACATTATTTATTTGATTTTGTTTGTTTTATTGGTTTGTTTTGGTTTTGGTTTTTTGAGACAAGGACTTGCTATGTAGCCTAGTCTGGTTTTCAACACTGGATCTCTCTGTTTCAATCCCGGGTGCTAGGATCACAGGCATGTATTACCACACCAGGTTGTACATGGTATACTTGTAGTGAAACATATTATATGGCACAAATATTAGCAACTACTGTGTTTCCACTAAAACTTTTTAAGTGGGAAGAAATTGGTTAGGAATGTCACTCAGTAGTAGAGTGTTTGCCTAGTGTGTGCAAGGCCCTCCATTTAATCTCCAGAACCACCAAAATGAAATAAAATCGACTCACTTTTCAAAAACTTAGCTTGTTTGGAAGTTCTAGTGGGGAGCACAGCTACGCCTATACCCTTGGCCGAAGACAGGTCCTTCTCTATTCTGGGAAGGTCATCCTCTTTGTTCTCTTTGACAAAGCGTGCAGCTTTGGGGAGGAACACACATGGGGTGGTAAGGGACAAAGGGGACAGACACATGCCTAACCAACCAGATCAGTAGAATCAATCCTGTCGATCAATGCAGTGATAGATGTCCCAGCCAGATCACCCTCAAATGCACAGAATCAGCTAACCTGGGCTCCCAGGGTCTCCCAGAGACTGAACTGACAGCGAAGGAGCCTGCATGGGACTGGCCCCCTACATATATGTTACAATGTGTGACTTGGTCTTCTGGTGGGACTCCTAACAGTGGGAGCAGGGGCTATCTGTGACTCTGTTGCCCACTTTTGAGAGTCTTTCCTCCTACCAGATTGCCTCATTCCGCCTTAATAGAAGAGGAGGTGTCTAGTCTCACTGCAACGTATATACCATAGCTGGCTGGTATTCATGGAAGGCCAGCCCTTTTCTGAAAGAAACAGGAGGAGGAGATGGGGGAGAGGAGGGGAGAAGGACTGGGAAGAGAGGAAGGGAGGGGAAACTGCAATAGGATATAAAAACAAACAAACAAACAAAATAAATAAATAATTAGCTACATGCTAAACAATTACAAGTTGGATAGTGCTAGTTTTACACATTTTTGTAACAATGAAATAAATGCATATTCCATACAACAAAGAAAGCAGCCATAAATACATTCTAGAATTGTGTGCCTCACCTTAGTGGCATATATGCTAAATTTGGGGAAATATAGAGTAGCTCATGAGAATATGAACATAAACATTTCATTGGATCAGGAGACTTTGTATTTATCAAAGGAAATTATTACTGCTACATTTGTTATTTTTCATTAACCTGAGAGTCTGATTGCATACATATTGCTTTTAATGTGGGACAATAGGATTGCCCGCTAATGAGTAGAGTTTTTGCTTGGCCTCTGAATTAGCATAAATCCCACTCTCATCATGCCATGTGTTGATGCCAAATCTCTTGGAGCCATTTAGGTCTGTGAACTGTGAACGGCACTTCCTGTAGACTATGGAGTACTCATCTCGACGTGGGCAAGCCTACGATAAGAAAAAAGAAATAATATTCAGTGATTGAAGTATATGTTCAAAGGAGCGAGCTCCAAAGTTTGGTTCTTATGACTAAAGGTGAATTTTCAAAATTAATAATGGATTAATTTGGTTTTACCAAATGTCTCAGTGAAGAACAATCAAACACTGGCTGGCATTTACAAGTAGTTCCAACCCTGAAAGAAGATCTAGCTCACAGTGGTTTGATAAGACTTTAATCATGTACATTATTATGCATGTATAATTTTTCTAAACTAAGGAAGTATGGAGGCCAATTTAAGCATTATGATAATCTAAATAAAACCAAAGTAATTAGGATTAACTACTTTCAACATCTTTGATTGACAAGTCAGGATTATTTTGAAGAACAATATCTTGTGCTAAATCTTTAATAATTACTAAATCATGCTTCCCACAATGGTAAAGGCCAATCGCTAAGGTTCATTCCTATGAGAAATTTGACTCAAAACAAGCCAATAGAGTTTAAGATGCTTATGTTTAGGCCACTTTGTTAAAAAGCTTCATAGTAATAAAGTATGATGCTATTGTTGACCATTTCCCAAGAAAACACTGGTTCTTTGGAACTGTACCGGGAGTGATCATTGGACTACTGCTTTAAACCAGTTCTAATTTTAAAGCACCAGATGGAAATGAAACCATGAAAGCTATGAAATCCTTAAAGAACACCACAGACACTCTCAGATTTTCTTTTTTATTGACATTTTAACCATGTGTTCAACCACAATGTCCACTTATCTGTGGAGTGCCCGTTAGGGGCTGAGGCTGAGCACAATGCTTTAGAGCTGATGTCTTCTGATCCAATAATGGGATACTGGGCTTTGATTTTTACTCCCATTTTGCACATAAAGACTTTCCTAAAGCTCCAGGAGAGAGGGTAAAGGAAGCCAGTGCTAAGTGGCTGAGGCTGGTTATAAACCAGACCTGTCTGACTTAAGACCCAGTGTCATTTCAGAAGCATAAACAATGATATCATACAGCCATACAATAAATCCATGATGCTGCTCCACATGGTTTGGACTTTGGCTTTTGACATTGGGTGCTATTTTCAGGGTGGAAGGATTTTTCTTGTTTTTGTTTGGTTTGTTTATTGGTTGGGTGGATGGATGGATGGATGGATGGGATGGGATGGGATGGGATGGGATGGGATGGGATGGGATGGGATGGGATGGATGGATGGATAGAAGGCTAGATGGAAGGATGGAGGAATACATGGTCCACTAGTCAGATACAAGTACTTTTAATGGGATTTTGTATTATTGGTCCAAACTACCCATTCAGAGGAAGCAGGACTATCTCATTCCTTTCTTTACTGGAGTCAAACTGAAGAGTTTCAAGTGTAAGGTCAGTGTGTTCCTTCAGCATCTCACAGGCAGAGAGGGTAATGTATTTTTATGAGGTGAATGACAAGTCAAAGTGTCATGTCTTAGGGAAATGATTCTGGCAGCATAAGTATTAAAAGACTAGAGACAGAAAAGACAATTTTTTTTTTTACTTTTTATTGATTCTTTGTGGGTTTCATATTATACATCCCAATCCCTCTCATCTTTTTATCCCCTTGCTTCACCCTCTGCCCTTGCAACCTCCCCCCAAAACAAAATTTAAAAGTAAAACCAAAAAATAAATAAAACAAAATCTTGGCATGGAATGTGTAGTGTGGCCCAGTGAGTCACACAGTTTACCCTTTTGTCCATACATCTTTACTTGCAAGTGTTCATTGAAATGAGTCATTGGTTTGGTTCGAGGCCTTTGGCTTCTGCTACGCTATCGATACTGGGCCCTCACTGGGACTCCTCTTGGACATCCTATTGTTGCCCTGTGTCGTGGAGATCCTGCAGCTTTGGATCTGCAGGTCCAGCCCCTTCATATAATCCAATAGTTCATAGATGAGGTGGGTGTTGGGGTGGGCTGCCTCGTAGTCCTGGTTCTGGTTCTGGGTGGTAGCTGGGTTGGTCAGCCTGACAGCTTTCCCTCGTTGTCACCACCAGGTAGAGCTTTCTGACACTGCCTCAGCTAGCTCACCCACTGCAGCAGACAGCAAGGGGCGGGGCCAGTTCTCCCGCTCTCATCCTCTCCGTCCAGCTCAAGGGCGTTCACACCACCAAGGCCAGCTCTATGGTTTTGCCAGGTAAGGTACAGGACTTGCTCTCCAGACTGCTGCCCTTGGTGAAGAAAAGACTGGATTTAAGACCTGCAGTTGGAATTGGGTCTCAGTAACTCACACAGCATCTTCCGATGGATGGACAAACAGATATTTCTCAGTACCAAGAGAATAAAATACAGATAGTTATTGTGGTATGGGTGAAAACATTACTCAAAGTGAAACAAGCCAAACATCTAAAAAAAAAAAATGAATTCTGTGGCATGTAAATTATATCTCAGTAAAAGTGTTGTTTAAAATCAACATGTGCATTGATGAGAGTGATTCCAAAGTTAGAGAAACCAGTTAAAAAGATGGTTGCCTGTTAACATGCACTGCAGCATGCCTGCTGGTTCAACAAATGAGCCACTGTGTAACAGCAGCCAGTTTCCATGGCATAAATACCCCTGCTGTTGCCCATTTCAAGGGCCCAGAGCGAGGTCGGAAATAAGGACTTGAGCTTAATCTTTCCCACAGAATGTTGAGAGCTCACCCCAGCTCTCTCCGAGTTCCCTTTCCCAGTTTGAAGTTGCCAGTGTGAAGCAAGATGACCTCAATCCAGAAGTAGGGGCAGAATCTAATTTACCTAAGAAAATTGGTATATTTTCACCCCATTCTCAAGTCAGCAGGTCTTCAAAGATTAGAACAAATCATTAGGGACCTTGCCAACCTAAATGAGGAAGCTTCTAGACCAAATCGCAACTAGAAGCTTCCCTGCAGGAAGATCATGAGATTAAGTTATTTTTTTTCTTTTTACTTATTTTCAGTGCCAGGGATGAAACTCAGGGTCTCTCCATCCCCCAAAGCCAACACTGTAAAGAGGAGATTGGAGAGTCTTTAAGAATCAGGACACATTGTTGTATTGATCCTTTCCCAAAGTTTAATGTTTCAAAAATGTAAGCCAATTAATTGCCTTTACTGCCTGACTCAGTTTAAGCTGGATTTTGTGCATCTTGCTAAAAGCATCTTGACATAATTTCTCAGACAACTTAGGCTCTTGGACCAAGGAAATGAGTCAGAACCATGGCAGCAGAGCATACTCTAAAAAGTGGTAGTGAAGGCAAACGGTGGGTGAGCTTGTAGCAAGGGAGATGACTGGGAAGCAGAGAGATCCAAACACAGACCAGGTGAACAACATAGGCCTTCAGAAACAAACACAATTCATCAGGAACTGCGGAGATTAAATTCCTCACTGGGAAGTAAGGCGAGCCACCTTTTCAAAGTACAATTCAAACACCTTGAGATGGAACATGGAAAAAGCAGGTACCCCACAGTGACTGCAGCTCAGACCCCAAGGCAAAGCTGGGGTAGTGGGAGTCCTGAACAAGCAAGCAATCTGGAGTACCAGGCAGATCAATACACAGGGGGAGATGATTTAAAAATCATTAATGTGTTTCCCCTCAGTGTATGTAACCACCCATTGCTCAAGGGGAGTATAAAATGTGTTTCAGAACAACACCAGTCAAAGAACAAAGTAATGTTGGCTTGCAGCATGCAAAACAAGATTTTTTTTTTCCCAGCAAGATATTAGCCTTGTTGTAAATGACCAGGCTTAAGGAGTCTGAACAGCAGTCACCAAAGAGCAGATGATGGGCTTCCCTTAAATGTATACAGAAAGTGCCCTTTACTCTGATGGCTTATAGAAGAGTCGGGGAGAGAGGATAGCATCTGAGGAACCTTAGGAAGAAAAACGGAAAGAGAAGGAAATAAGGACATCAGAAAAGGCCAATGTTTTCCCCATCCCTGCTCTTTATAACCATGAAGGGTCCCTTTGTTCTGGACAGAAAGAAATATAGTAGGGAAAATATAATAAAAACAGAAAAACATAGAGGTCTTCTGACCCTAATATATTTGGGAACTCTTAAAATTGGTGACCTCTCATACTGCCTTTCACTTGCTTTTGATGGTCAGACAGAAAGGACCTCTAAGATTCATCTATCCTGAGCCACTCTGGGTATCATGGTGAGGCCAAGATCTGGAAGGAGCTGCAGTTCTAAAAAGGGGGTATTAATAAAGACAGCAGAGATAAGCATTGGAGTAGAGACAGAATGTGAGTCACAGAAGCTTCTGTGGCATCTACAGTACCAATAAGAGTGGAAGGGGGCCAACCCATCTCCAACCAAGATTAGGAAGGGAAGGGGCTGAGAATTTCAGTGTTTATCTATGTTAGCCATTAAGGACATAAAGTGAATCAGGAGGAATATGCATTACTTTTCATCATCTAGCCTCAAAAGTCCAACAGCGCCATTTCCAGCAGAGGCACAGCTCATTCAGATTCCACATTAGGGAGCATACTTGGCTTTCAGCAAAAGGCATCATCTATCCACGTGGGGTGGAGCAGGGATTATAGTCATTTTTAGTACATCTCTTTCTCTCCTGTTTTTAGGGAGAAGATTAAGTTGGGTCAGGAACCTCCAATCCCCCTTGAGTCTGATGATTTTCTAGGAAGACACACGGTGTGTAGCTAGATTCTGCACACAGCTGTGATTTGTTATCTCCAAAGGATATAAAGCAAAATGAGCATCGAAAACAGGTGCCTGGGCCAAAGTCCAGAGGATACCAGGTGTAGACCCCCGGACTGCTCTCCCAGACAAGGGTTAAAGCCTCTCTATGGAGGAAACTCATTAGAAATGCATGCCCAGGGTTTTTTATTGGGTGCTGGTCACATCCAACCTAGTCTCCATGCACCAAAATTTTATACTTCCAGAAGAAAAACAGGTGTTTGGCATAAACCAGGTGGGTTGCATGATTAGGTTTGGCACAGGGAGCCATTCTGATAAGGGAATTGTGATCCTGAAAGACAAGTCTCCAGATGCAAGCCAGGACAACCTTA